CTCAGGTTCACGGCAGCACATCCAGGTTCACAGCAAGACATCCAGGTTCACAACACACCTAGGCTCACGGCAACACATTCAGGTTCACGGCAACACACCCAGGCTCATTTCAACGCACCCAGTTTCAAGGAAAGACACCCATGTTCACGGCAACACATCCAGTCTTATGGCAACGCACCCAGGTTCACGGCAACACTCCCAGGATCCTGGCAGCACACCCAGTTTCACCTCAACACTTCTAGGTTCACGGCAACACACCCAGGTTCATGGCAATACACCCAGGCTCAAGGTAACACGCCCAGGCTCACGGCAACACACCCGGGTTCGTGGCTATACACCGACGTTTAAGGCAACACACCTAGGCTCATAGTAACACACCCAGGTTCACGGCAACAATCCCAGGTTCATGGCAACAATCCCAGGTTCATGGCAATACACCCTGGTTCATGGCAACACACGAATGTTCATAGGAACAGAGCCAGGTTCACGGCAATGCACCCATGTTCATGGCAACACACCCAGGTTCACAGCAACACACCCAGGCTCATGGCAACACACGCAGGTTCACGGCAGCACATCCACGCTCACTCTAACACATACAGCATTGTGGTAACACATCCTGGTTCAGGGCAATACACCCAGGCTCACTGCAACACACCGAGATTCACGGCAACACTACCAGGTTCATGGCAACACACCCAGATTCATGACAACATACCCAAGCTCATGGCAACACACTTAGGTTAACGGCAACACACCCAGATTCACAGCACACCGAGGTTCACAGCAACATATTCAGGCTCACGGCAACACAGTCTTATTATAACACACATGCTTTCACGACAACACACCCAGGTTCACGGCAACACACCCAGGTACATGGCAACACACTCAGGTTCACGACAACACACCCAGGTTCACGGCAACACACCCAGGTTCACGGCAACACACCTAGGATCATGGTAACACACCCAGGTTCATCCCAGCACACCCATGTTCACGGCAACACTCAGGTTCGTAGGAACACACTCAGGTTCACGGCAACACACCAGGCGCACAGCAACACACCCAGGTTCATGGCAACACACCCAAGGTCATGGCAACACATGCAGGTACACGACAACATACCCATGTTCACGGCAACACACCCAGGCTACTGGGAACACACCCTGGTTCACAGCAACACATCCAGTTTCACAGCAACACATCCAGGCTCACGGCAACACATCCAGCCTTATGGCAGTGCACCCAGGCTCCTGGGAACACAACCAGGTTCACAACAACACACCCATGTTCACGGCAAGACACCCAGGCTATTGGCAACAAAACCAGTTTCACAGCAACGCACCATTCTCACGGCAACACATCCAGCCTAATGGCAACACACCGGGTTCACGGTAACACACCCAAGTTCATGTCAACACATTCAGGTTCACGGCAACACACCTAGGTTCGCGGCAACACTCCCTGGTTCATGGCAACACACTCAGGTTCACGACAACACACCCAGGTTCACAGCAACACACCCACACACCCAGGGTCATGGCAACACACACAGGTTAACGGCAGCACTCTCAGGGTCACGGCAGCACAGGTTCACGGCAAGACACCCAGGCTCCCGGCAACACACCCAGGATCATGGCGACAAACCCAGGCTCACGTCAACACGCCTAGGTTTTCGGCAACACACCCAGGCTTTTGGCAACACATACAACCTGATGGCAACACACCCAGGTTCATGGCAACACACCCAGGGTCACGGCAACACTGCCAGATTCACGGAAATACACCCAGGTTCATGGCAACAGAACCAGGTTCACCTCAACACGCCCAGGTTCATGGCAACACACGCAGGTTCATGGCAATACACCCAGGTTCATGGCAACACACCCAGGCTCATAGCAACACACGTAGGTTGAAGGCAACACAAGCGGGTTCACGGCAACACACCCAGGTTTACCGCAACACACCCAGGTTCACGGCAACACACCCAGGTTCACGGCAGCACACCTAGGTTCACGGCAACACATATCCGTTTTCGGCAACAAACCCAGGTTCACGGGAAGACACCCAGGGTCATGGCAACACAACCAGTCTCATTGCAGCATACTAAGGCTGACAACTCTCTTTAGATGCTATTGTAATCAACACAAGCATAATATATACAGCCCCCCCCCCCCAGTATCCATGGATTCAGTTTCTGTGGTTTCGGTTATCCATGGTACTATGGTCCGAAAATAACCCTTAATTTTGCTTAATAACGTCCCCAAAGCAGTTTTTCAAATCCACGGAAGCCATGAAGTGCTTCCTAACACACGGCAACCTGGCAACCCACCCAGGCTCATGGCAACACGCCCTGGCTTACGGCAACCCACCAAGGCTCACGGCAACCCACCCAGGCTCTCGGCAACACACCCAGGCTCGCGGCAACACATTCAGGCTTGTGGCAGCACACCCAGGCTCGCGGCAGCACACCCAGGCTCGCGGCAGCACACCCAGGCTCGCGGCAGCACACCCAGGCTCGCGGCAGCACACCCAGGCTCGTGGCAGCACACCCAGACTCGCGGCAGCACACCCAGACTCGCGGCAGCACACCCAGACTCGAGGCAGCACACCCAGGCTCGCGGCAACACACCCAGGCTCACGGCAACACACCCAGGCTCGCGGCAGCACACCCAGGCTCACTGCAGCACACCCAGGCTCACGGCAGCACACCCAGATTCACGGTAGCACACCAAGGCTCACAAGCATAGTGTATACAGGCCTCACCCCCGGTATCCAAGGATTCAGTTTCTGCAGTTTCGGTTATCCATGGTGTACTATGGTCCTAGAATAACCCTTAATAGCATCCCCAAAGCACAAAGGCAGTGATGCTGGCAGTTCTTCAAATCCAGAGAAGTCGTGAAGTGCTTCCCATCAATGAAAAAAGCTAACTCTAGATTTATTGTGCATAATTTATCAATTAAACTTTATCGTAGGCACTTATGTGAACAAAAAAAACGACTTAATAGGATTTGCTACTATCCACAGTCTCAGGTATCCATGGTAGGTGTTGGAACGCATTCCCTGTGGATTCGGGAGGACTGCTGTACATACGTACAGTGGACCCCTGGATAACGTAATTAATCTGTTCCAGGGAGTGTGTCTTATACCAAATCTGACTTAATCCGAATTAATATTCCCCATAAGAAATAAAGGAAATCCAATTAATCCGTTCTAGACACAGCAACACACCTATTTCCCTAAACAGAAAACAATGAGACATGCAGAGTAAAACATTACTACAATGAAACTTACCTTTATTGAAGACTTATTGAGGATTGATGAGACGGGAGGAGAGGAGAGGATGGAGGTGTACTATTGTTTGGAAGGGGAATTCCCTTCCATAAAGACTTCAGGTACCAAGTCCTTATCTGGGGTTACTTCCCTTCTTTGTTTTTTAATGCCACTGGATCAGCTTCAGAGTCACTGGACTCCTGCCGCACAAAATATCTGTCCAGAGAGCTCTGTTTCTGGTGTCTCTCTAAGATTTCCCTAAAATGGGACACAACATTGTCATTGTAGATGTTGCCAGCACGGCCTGCAGCAGCTGTGTCAGAGTGATGTTCATCCATAAATGTTTCCACATAAGAAAGCAGGAACATTGCAGCAGGCCTGTTGGCCCATACTAGGCACTAACAGAAATGTATTTGCCCAACCCAATTTTCAATGCTTCCCAAGCAATAAGCTTTAATAATTTTATTCACTCATGCACAAGTCCCACTCAAATCAGATAGTGTGTGTGGGGAAGTATTCTGGTGGTGTGTGTGGGGAAGTACCCTGGCTGGTGTGTGGGGAAGTACCCTCTACCACCATCACTACCATCCACTACCACCACCACTTTCGTATCTTTCTACAAACTTTTTCTTGAATTCTGTAGTGTTTTCACCCTCTTTACCAAAGGGCAGGCACTAGAAGCTTTCTTTGGGTCCATGGTGGCTTATTTAGCAGTTACAAGCACTAAAAACAATAGAATAATACAAAATGTATCACATGTATGCGTGGAATCTTCCTTACTGGCTGGTAAACAATGGCACACTGGCTGTACATGGAGTGTCTGGGCCGCTCATGGCGCGTGGACACATTCAGAATGAATGACTTTTACCGAGTTCAGTGTCATTTACTGAGCCAATATTTTGACACAAAAACGTTACTTAATCAGATTATTTCTTAATCCGATTACATCTTAATCCAGGAGTCCACTGTAATGACTTTAAAACTATTGAAACTTTGGAAAGTTTCAAGACAGAATCCAAGGAGATGCAGAGTATGCAAAGGCTGTAAGCAGACTTAACAAAATGGAGCCTGGACTCTCAGCTGTTGAGTGCATTGGGCTGAAGAAACACCGGAACGGCAGAACCAGAGCCAAATAAATGAATAATGGGTATAATTGAAAACCACTGCAATAGCAGAATGCCAAGAAGTAGAATGCCATAGTGTGGGACCCACCTGTACAGTAGTATGCCCATGACATCTGTGTGTCATGTAGTTGTGTCATGTACTTTTAGAAATTATAATTACAGTGGACCCCCGCATAACGATTACCTCCGAATGCGACCAATTATGTAAGTGCGTTTGTACGTGTATGTTTGGGGGTCTGAAATGGACTAATCTACTTCACAATATTTCTTATGGGAACAAATTCGGTCAGTACTGGCACCTGAACATACTTCTGGAGTGAAAAATATCGTTAACCGGGGGTCCACTGTATTATTACTGCATAAATATTATTATTATTGTCGGCACACGTGGGTGGACCTCAGTCAACCATTGATGTGGTAGCTTGTCTCTTATGTGGCATCTGAGCCAATAGGAGTGGGGGTCTGTGGGGTGACTTAGCAGCCAGTCTGCAGCAGGGTTGAATATCTCTATTGTATCATCTCAGCCAATAGCAGAGTTTGTACTACAGTTTATTGTTTACTCTTCAGCTTGAAGCTATCATGGGTGTTTCCTGCACTAACTCTGGTTTACTCTTCATAATGGCATTTATGTTATAATTACACCATCTTCTGCATTACCAAGTCATTATGGCCCTTAAGGAAGATAGCTTGTGCCAATTATGTCTGTGAAGGGTACAAGTCCAAGGTACAGTAAAAGTTGTACCTTGGGGTCTTGGAATGAATTACTTTGCTTTCCGGCATATAAGGCATGCCTTTTCTTTTCCCACAAAAGGTTTTGGAGAATCACCCTGCACCTTTCATGCTTAAAGTCAGGGTTAAGAGTAGACTTTGGGTTATGCTTTAGTGTAAAGTAAGGGGGTAATTAGCCATTGAATATGATTACTGATTTACCATTGTGATACTTTTATCATGCCTTATATGCCAGAAAATACAGTACCATAAAGCCATGTATTTTAGGGTTTGGAACAAATTAATATTTTAACTCGGTGGACCTCTGTAATTTGAAGCTAAGGACCTAAGTCCCACTTTGCAAATGGTTATCACATTTACCATTTTCCACTTATCTGGCTTTCCATCACACCTTTTTTTCTAAAAAAAAAAAAAAAAAAAGTGTATATCCAAAGCTTAAGTAAAATTTAATTACTTAAAAGCTGGTAAATCTTAGAGAAAAGTTTGGATTGATTTTGTGGGTGGCTTCAAACTTAATGTGCTGGTGTATTTTAGGATATTGGTCTTAAGATGGGGAAATGCCTCTTCAGGTTGACTTCAGAACTGGTGTTTCTTAGTGGAAGGTTTGAATTAGTCTTGGCTTGTGCATGTCCTAACCTTCCATTTTTATTGAAGAACTTGGGATATTAATTTCCGTTTGACAACTTGTGAATACCTCTTTTGATTTGCCTCAAATCCTCAACTCAAATATTTAACTGCATTTGAAACCTGTGTCACTCTCTGCCATATTTATTTTGTGTTCATTGATATCCAGGGGGCTGGGGTTATGCAATGTGGAATACCCTTCTCTTGTCATACAGTGACTGAAATACATTACATCGTTATTATTATTATTACATTCATGAGGGAGCACTATACCCATAGGAGCCATACAGTACCTGGGGTAATGAGAGGCAAGTAGGTTCCATCTGAGGAAGAGGTCATATCCAGCTGCTTGGATCAAGAGCTCCCTTGCCAGCATCAAAGAACTTCCCTTGAGGAAGTAGGTTTTGAAACTCCTCATAGACTGGTCAGAAGCCAGTAATGTAGTACAGGTCCTCATCACAAATCCGGCATCATTGGGACCTGTAGTGTGCCGGATCACTGAGTTTGCCGGATTACAGAGTGGTTAGGTTAGAATACACTTAATAAAATTAACCAACTTGACTTGCACAGTTCATTGGACATCGGAAAAAATTGAACATTTCCGCTACTTTGAGCTCAATTTCAAGGTACTTTTCGTCATGAAAGCAATCAAAATCATGTCTATTTCTGTAATATATCTTCCATTCTATCAAATGAGTCCAAAAAAATGAGAATACAACCATAAAAACCATACGAAAATATACTGCAAAGAGGCGGCTAATGGCTGAGAAGTTAACTCCTTTATTTATCGTCCGTCTTTTTTATTTTTGTTGTACGTTAAGAAGCATCTTTCCATCATACATTGCCCAAGTTTCAATGAGATAGCCCAACAAACAACCGAGAAAAAAAAATATTTACCAAAAATCATATATGGCAAGCCCAAGCCAGGTACTGGAAATAAGTCACTTTGTCTGACTTTTCTGGGTTATCCTAGGTTCTCTATACATACACTGCTATGTATAATAATCTGTGTAACTGTATTTGTGTATGCCTGAATAAACTTATTTACTTCTAGTCTGTCAACTGAGTACAAAAAACCACCCATTCACTTATTTCAACTTCCCAATAAAGTGGTCAGAAATTGGCAATTTGGCCAATTTCACACAAAATTTTAACAGATGCCAATTTCAAAATAGGGTCCAGAATAAACAATGCAGGGCATTCCCTGGCACTAAATAAAAATTTTCTCTGTTCATTAGTCACGGCTACAGGCCCCTCGTATATTACTCTTGCTTTTCATTTGGAATTTTTATTCACAAAAAAAATAGAAGATTTACTGTTATGCAGACTGCTGCATTATTGTAATAATTGTATAAATAATGTCAAGCCATTCTTGACTCGTACTGGAATTTAGACTGGCAGGCGGACAGGTATTGGACGGTGACGTCATTTGTTTACTCTTGAGCTTTGCTAAAGAATAGAACATTTTTGCTACTGGGAGTGCAATTTCGAAGTACTTTTCATCATGAAAGCAATCAAAATCATATCTATTTCTGTAATATATCTTTCATTCTATCAAATGAGACCGAAAAAATGAGAATATAACCATAACAACCATACAAAAATATACTTACCACTAAGCGGCCGCTAATGGCTGAGAAGTGAACTCCGCTATTTATGGTCTGATTTCTTTCATTTTTGGTGTACATGAAGAAGTATCTTTCCATCATACATTGCCCAAGTTTGAATGAGATAACCCAACAAACAACTGAGAAAATAATAATATAATAATAATAATAATAATAATAATAATAATAATACATGTATCTTTATATACTACATGTACATGTACAAGGTATACAGGCCTAGCTGACATCAATGACATACTACTATATAGAAAGCCCCTTGTTATAGAGAGTATTTCAAGAAAATTAGGTCAGTATCCCAGGATAACACCCACACTAGTCGGCTAACACCCAGGTACCCATTTAATGATGGGTAAACATAGACAACAGGTGTAAAGAAACACGCCTAATGTTGCTACCCTGGCTGGGAATCGAATATTTACCAAAAATCGTATATGGCTAACCCAAGCCAGGTACTAAAAATAAGCCACGTTGACTTTTTTGGGGTTATCCTAGGTTCTCTACACATATGCTGCTATGTGTGATAATCTACAGAGAGAAAATAACTTTTTTTGTTTCAGGTTTATGGTGCAGTACGAGTGTATATCATAGTTAGCCCTGTGCTATACTCCGTTTTCTCTAATATAAGCCACAAAGACAGGGATAGGAGAATGGTATTTGTATATCATATCCTCTTCATACCTCCATCGAACTGCTCGGTGTTATGCCAAATATTATTCATTCTGGAGTATTTAACATGTTTTATGTTATTTATACGTATTGTTTCTTATGTCATATTAGATCAATTGTGATAGGCAAATAAGCTGTAGTGTTGATATTAGCGTAATAATAAAGCATATTCTCCAGCTTCATGAGACTGAGCTCATGGCAACCGACAGTGGCTTCAAAGCCACCTTATCTTTAATGGATAATGTACTGTGTAGGTGCTTTACATAATGAGAAGCATTTCTTTTATTCATTGGAACCATGGCTAGGGCTAAAAGTAAGCAGGTTAAAACAATAAATGGAGAAAAAGAAATTGGAATGATTTATGCAGCAAGTAGCGCCACCAAACAGTACCAGCAGGTTGGTGTGGCGACCCTGGAAATTTGAAATTATGCTCGCCAAAATTAGTGCCGAATAACTGAAGGAACCGAATAACTGATTGCCGGATTTGTGATGGCGGACCTGTACTAGTTGTAATTTTTTTTTTAGGGGGGGGGGTAATTTTTAGATTTTTAATACTTTATATTCATACTGTTTTCTATATTTTTCATGTTTTTTTCTTGATATTTTCATCCATTTTTCCCATACTTTATTTTACAATTTATGTTTTTTTTATGCTTTCCAGACTTCCTTACATTCTCTGCACTTTTCTCTAGACAGTAGTTTACACATTTTATATTTTTTGTACATTTTTTTATTCTTTTCATATTCTTTACTTGGAATATTAGTACACTGTACAATTCAAGTTACAGATACTTGTAGTAAAAAAATAATTAGCTACATATTAAAAATCACTTCATTGCACCCTACTACAATATTGCTTCTTCCTGAAAGATGTTTTTGGGAGACAGTGTCCCCATGACCCTGTCCCAGACCAGGCTGTCTGGAGGATCAAGGCCTGATCAACCAGGTTGTTACTGCTAGCCATACACAATTCAGTGTACAAACCATAGCCTGAATACAGGCACTGATTTGAGGATCTTGTCCAGTTCCCTCTTGAAGGCCAGAATCTTGTCCAGTTCCCTCTTGAAGGCCAGAATCTTGTTAGTAATTTCCCATATGCACAGAGGGGAGGCATGGAAGATTAGGGGACTCAAACATTCATCACGTTCTCTCTTAGTGTACTCGTCATACCACTGCATTTTAGTGGAGGTATTTTCCAGGTGTAAATACTGTACCTTTATTGCTTACATTTCAAGGAATACAGTTGAAGGGACTTCCAGCATTCCTAGTAGTTCAGATGTTTGACTATACGAGCAGTGAAAGTTTTTTGTATGCTTTCCAGCTCAGCAATCTCGCTCTGACCAGAAGGGGCAGTTTTCCGGCCTGGAGAGAAAAAGGTGACTCAGCATCTCTTGTCTGGAAAGTTCTAGTTATCCAGCCTATCATTTTTCTTGCGGTAGCAATGACAATATTGTTGTGATACTTGAATGCGAGATCTTCCGACATCATTACTCCTAGGTCTTGCACATGGGACTTTTGTTTAGTTGAATGATTTGAGTTTGTCTTGTACTTCATTACAGTCTTTATTTCCTCCATTCTTCCTCTACCTATTGCTCAGGGACAATTTTTTTTTTTTCAGGAAGTTGGAGTGATTACAAGATGCATCCGAGGTGGCAACCGTTGTGCTGCAGCTGACTAGATGCTTCTCATGTGGCCCCAGTGTCTGCAGGTTTACTGCTTACTTGTGTTAAAAGTTTTAAAAGTGCCAGAATAAATAGATAAGAGCACAGTAAATAAATCAGGCTGGGTCTTAGTGAAAAAGAGAGGCCAAGCCATATTTGAAGTGGGTTGGGCCACAGTATGGACTCTGCGCGGCTGCCTACTGACACGCGCAACATCCCCCACATGCAGCTCTTCCATCACTTGAAGCAGAAATTTCCTGACCTGAAGGACAATGATGTCAATGAAAGCATTCAGAAGGTAAGATAAATAGAATGTAACATGCCATTTGCTGTGTAACTGTGTAAATGGTGGCATTACACTTGGTAATGTACAGTGCATGAGGGATGTACAGCAAGATATACTTCGCAACACAAGTATTGTAGTCAACCGCCTGCTTTGTTTTTATCAATGCATATGAATTTGTGTATTTATTTGTTATTTTAAGGATGAATTGGTATAAGTAAATATTTTGTCAGATAAAGGCAAGATACAGCTTAGAAATAACTGGTTAACAAGTCTTCTGATGGAATCACACCTGCCCATATGCTTGGATAAAACTTGTCATAAATACTGATCGATGAAAGTTGAGATACCACTTACACTGAGGAATTCCTAAGAGATCCTTTTTAGGAAAAGAGTATCTGACTGAGGCCAAAGCATACAGATATCTAGTTACTGTAGTAAGTTGTACGGCCTGTGTGGCAGCTTTACTGTACACCCTGTGCTCATCATGTGGGCTATAGTGCAGAGAAACAAGCAGTATTACAAGTGTGCAATGGGTCTTTCAGACCCCACTGAGCACAGGTGCATCTTAAAAAAATTTGTCATTTCATATACTATTAGTTACTTTACATAGCTAATCTACACAATACAATAGGGAGATACAGTCTCCAGGAAACTCGAGTATATCTTATTACCACTAAAAAATTGGTCATTATTGGATTACGGTCTCATCAATTTTTTTTATTAACCCTTAAACGGTCCAAAGAGATTGACGTTCAAATTCGTAGTGCTACAAAAGTGGATCTACTTTTTTTTACATATTTTCAAATACTGTATAACAAAAAAAAATGTAGATAAAAGTTTTTTTTACACGTTTTCAAATGTAAAATAAAAAAGAAGATCTACATTTTTTTACATGCTTTCAGATGTTGAAAAAACGTATATATACGTTTGGACCATTTAAGGGTTAACACAGCTGTTTCCCATCAAGGCAGGGCGACCCAAAAAAGAAACACTTTCAATTATCGTCATCATCATTCACTCCATCACTGTCTTGCCAGAGGCATGCCTACACTACAGTTAAAAAACTGCAACATATCAACACCCCTCCTTCAGAGTGCAGGCACTGCACTTCCCACCTCCAGGACTCAAGTCTGGCTTCCCAGTTTCCCTGAATCCCTTCATAAATGTTACTTTGCTCACACCCCAACAACACATCAAGTCATAACTATTTCTCTCCACTCGCTCCTATCTACCACACTCACTATTACTGGACCTCCACACCCCTTGCACACAAAACCTCCTTTACCCTCCCCTCCCTCTAACCTTTTCTAGGCCGACCCCTACCTCACCTTCCTTCCACTACAGATTTATATGCTCTCCAAGTCATTCTATTTTGTTCCATCCTTTCTAAATGTCTGAACCACCTCAACAACCCCTCCTCTGCCCTCTGGATAATACTTTAGTAATCCTGCACCTCCTCCTAATTTCTAGACTACAGATTCTCTGCATTACATTCACACTGCATGTTGCCCTCAGTAGCTTAACTTTAATCCTCTTGCCTATGTTTCATTTCTCATTCCAAATGGTATCACTTTTCTCCTTATGTCAGTAAATTGGGAAGTTTTATTACAGTCTTTTTTTTTTTTTTTTTAGTCTAGGTTAGTTTTTATTAGATTATTTTAGGCTATGGAAGTTTGACACACTCATCCAACCACTGAATCAAACTGTTAGTTGTCAGGGGAATTACTGCAAGAGTTAACTAGACACATTGCTATAGGACAAACATGATCAGTCAGGCTGTACTGCCTCTTAATTATGTACTAAGGGGGTTGGCCTTAATAAAGTGCAGCTTTGATAAATTGATGTGCTCTAGGTAATGTTACACCAGACAACTTACTAGTGCACAGTTCAAGCATAACACAAGCCATCCACTGAATGTTCATCACAGCACTTCTCCACAATAACATCAGTTATGTCAGTGTTCTAAACCTCACTATTACTCTCTTGCCAGTCATAGCATCACAGTATACTAGAGCCCAGCTTTATGGCACTTCGCTGATACGAACATTTCAAATTATGCCCCAGAATTCATTTATATGGCTCCTGATTCACTGTTATGGCATGTGTGAGCCACCCCTCCACTCTCAGTTTGTTTACCTCCTCCGTGAGCTCCGCATCTCTCTCGATTATGTCTGGAAACTTTCCAAAGTTTCAAGTGCTTTAAAGTTATTGCATATTTTATATATGCTCTTTTTGTGTTACAATGACATCTAAAGGTAGTTGTGATAAAAAGAAGTCATAAGGCTCTTATTTTAAGTACTAAATTAGAAATGATTAAACTCAGTGAGCAAGTTACAGTGGACCCTGGAATTTCGTAATTAATCCGTTCCAGAGAGTGTGACGAAAGTTTAAATTTACGAATGGTGAAACCATATTCTTATAAGAAATAATGTAAATCCAATTAATCTGTTCCAGTCACCCAAAAGTATTAACAAAAAAATATTTTTTTTTTACATTAAATATAGATTTACATACAGAAGACAATGAGACATGAAATATAAAACAATAATATCACACTTACCTTTATTGAAGACTTCTTGGTGTATGGAAGACGGGAGGTGGGGAGAGGATGGAGAAGTTACACTATTGTTTGGAAGGGAAATCCCCTTCCTTAAAGACTTTAGGTACCAGGTCCTTATCTGGGGTTACTTCTCTTCTTTGTTTTTTAATGGCACTAGGACCAGCTTGAGAGTCACTGGACCCCTGTTGCACAAAAAAAAAAAAAATGTCCAGAGAGCTCTTGTAGCTCTACCCTCTACCACCCTTTACCACCATCACTACCATCCTCTACCACCACCACCCTCTACCACCATCACAGCCACTACCACCCTCTACCCCTACCACCCTCTACCACCATCACTACTGCTACCACTCTCTACCACTATCACTACCATCCTCTACCACCATCACAACCACTACCACTCTACCACAATCACTTCCACCCTCTACCACCATCACAACCACTACCACTCTCTACCACCATCACAACCCCTACCACCCTCTACCACCATCACAACCACTACCACTCTACCACTATCACTACCACCCTGTACAACCATCACAACTACTACCACCCTCTACTACCCTGTCTACCACCCTCAACCACTACCATCCTCTACCACCACCACCACTGTCGTATTTTTCTACAAACTTTTTCTTAAATTCTATCGCATTTCTCACCTTTACCAAAGGGCTGGCACTAGAAACTTTCTTTGGGCTTATGGTGGCTTATTTAGAAGTTGCAAGCACAAAAAAAGAATGGAATATTATGAAATGTATCGTATGAACGCATGGGGTGATGCTCATTCGCCAATAAACAATGCCACACTGACTGGGAATGGTGTGTGGGGCACCTTTGTGTGGCGCGGACACTGGGATGCCACTCATACATGTTCCGGACAAGCGACAAATGGCGAGCCAAATTATGAACTGCGAGGCTATATTTTGACAAAAAAAGTTGTCAAAAGTCGAAATTTATGAAGAGCGAGCCTTACGAAACTCAAGGGCCCACTGTATGTCTATGGCTGAGATAGTACTGAGATACTACTGATAATTCACTGGTCAACATTCAAAATGCTTCCGAGACCAGAGTAGTAATTTCCAACTAATTTTAGGTCACTGATAATGAATATCATGGTTAAAATTGTTTGTTAGCTCTACTTTTCAATATACGCCAATGTGTCACAACAGGTTTCAACAGGTTTGCAACAGTGTTTCTTACCACACTCACAGTCTCACTGCCCTTCATTATTGTTCCAGCAGTCATAGAAGGTGGTTTATATTTTGAGGTGAAATGTAGGTGATTTTCTTAGCCGAACAGAGCAGATACACCAACTACACTGCTGCTTTCTACGTGAATGGGACAGCCATGCAAGAGGTTCCCACTACATCAGGAAAGAACTCAAAAGGAACAGTAGACCCCCGGTTTTCATAATTCATCCAATTCAGAAGGTTGGCCGAAATCCAAAATCACCAAAAACTGATATACAGTGGACCCCCGCATACCGATGGCATCACATAGCGATTAATCCGCATACCGCTTGCTTTAATCGCAAAAATTTTGCCTCACATACCGCTTAAAAACCCGCTCACCGATTTTCGTCCGAGACGCGTCCAATGTGCGGCCTGAGCCACGCTCACATGTTCCGCCGGTGGCATTGTTTACCAGCCAGCCTCCGCGGTAACATCCAAGCATACAATCGGAATATTTCGTATTATTACAGTGTTTTCGGTGCTTTTTCTGGAAAATAAGTGACCATGGGCCCCAAGAAAGCTTCTAGTGCCAACCCTACAGCAATAAGGGTGAGAATTACAATAGAGATGAAGAAAAAGATCATTGATAAGTATGAAAGTGGAGTGCGTGTCTCCGAGCTGGCCAGGTTGTATAATAAACCCCAATCAACCATCGCTACTATTGGTGGTACAGCTGCTGCTGCTGCTGTAGCATCGTCTGCTGCTGCTGTAACATCGTCTGTTGCTGCTGTAGTGTCGTCTGTTGCTGCTGTACCACCGTCAGCTGCTGCTGCTGCTGTAGCATCGTCTGCTGCTGCTGTAACATCGTCTGTTGCTGCTGTAGCATCGTCTGTTGCTGCTGTACCACCGTCAGCTGCTGCTGCTGCTGTAGCATCGTCTGCTGCTGCTGTAGCATCGTCTGCTGCTTGCTGTAGCATCGTCTGTTGCTGCTGTACCACCGTCAGCTGCTGCTGCTGCTGTAGCATCGTCTGCTGCTGCTGTGGCATCGTCTGCTGCTGCTGTAGCATCATCTGCTGCTGCTGTAGCATCGTCTGTTGCTGCTGTACCACCGTCAGCTGCTGCTGTAGCATCGTCTGCTGCTGCTGTAGCATCGTCTGCTGCTGCTGTAGCATCGTCTGTTGCTGCTGTACCACCGTCAGCTGCTGCTGCTGCTGTAGCACCGTTGTTGGTGTGGCTTATTGAGAATACCAAGAAACAATTAACCCCAGAGGATTTGCCAC